CCCCCAACATGCTCTCCTTACCCACGTGAGCGCGCAAGCGCGCAAGCACCACCTATGCAGATCCTCTAACTCGACGATTGGCTAGCAAGTCCTGATTGCGTTCGGTGCTCGCCTCTCGGTCCTTGCGCTTGCGTATTACGGCTTCTGCCTGTCGCCTCGGCCCGGATCGGGAAGTGACAAGCGGGAGTCGGGTTTCCCCGCCTTCGCCGCTACCACCGCTGAACCCGGACCCCTTACCCAGGCCCGAGCCTAGCCGCCATGACTAACGGTGAGGGTCGGTGCCCCGAGCGGAGGGTGGTAGTAAAGGACGCGGGGGAARCTGGCGGGCGGGGCCGGGACTGACGTGGCCGTTCTCCCCGCCCCCTCCCAGCCCTTCCCCTCTCCGCTTCTCGAAGCCCTTAACTCCTTTCTCGTGTACTTCTCTGCAGGTTCCTTCTTCCTGTGCTCATTTAGGTCTCTCAGTCCCTCTCCTGTCCACACCTCGAGCCTCAGGTCTCTACCCCTCTTTTCCTTTCCAAGAAGTTCGTTTTGGCCCGGAGGAGGGCAGTCTCCATAGAACTAGTGTTCTTTAACCCCAGGGAGGAGAGAATCCTCCTTCCCAGCCCCCTACTTTCTCATACTTTGGAACTGTAGGCTGGTTAAGAGGATCAAGAAATCACCGAGGATATCAAACCTCACACTTTGGCGGGTCGGGGGAGGTGAACGTAGACCCTCCCCAAAGTTCTTTTTAAAAATGCCGGAAAACCTTCTCTTGTTTAATTCTAAAGTCCTAACTGGCTCATCACATCTGGAAACTCTGGCTAGTGTTGCAAAGGATAGATTTAGACACTACCTTTTCTAAATGATATAATTGTCACCCTGATCTAATTTTCTCGGTTCCTTCAAACACTTTATAGACATGATTTCTGAAATCCAGGAAAAGGCAGGGAGCAGGACTTCTATGGTCTTTACAATCAGCCTTTCAGAAAAGGAAAAGAAAGTGTATTTTAGGCAGAATAACTTGAAGGGCACAGGAAAGCATTTCTCAAAAGTACCTTGTCCATAGGCGTGGCATTGAAGACTATTATTTCACCTCCTTGTGAAATTTTGGCAGCGTCTGCAAATATTTATGGGAGGAAAAGTAGCTCATGAAGGTATCATTCTTCCTAAAAACTGTGTGTGTATAATTTGCTGGACCTAGCTATGAGAGTGTTTTACTGGAGGAGGAGAGACACATAGTGTGGTCCAAAACTGGCAGACATTAGATATACACAATATCAGTTTGGAGCTTCCCGGATAGTCAGAGGTCTCAGGACATTACCCAGAGGAAGAAATAATCCGAACCTGGAAATAAGAGAGCATTCTGGCACATAGTAGTTGCTAAATAATTTGTGTGTGTGTCTGTGTCCCACTTGTGTAGTCCAGTATTATTATTACTTGCAGTAAGGTAATTCATTGTGCTCACCAGTACAATTTGAATATACATATGTAAAATACAGAACTGAGAGCTTAAAGTTTTTTGCTATGTCAAATGATCAGTTTTTTAAAATACAAGAATGTGTTGTGATGGGGCCGGGGATATGGCTCAAGGGGTAGCGCAATCGCCTGGCATACGCAGGGCACTGGGTTCGATCCTCAGCACCACATACAAATAAAATAAAGATGTTGTGTCCTCTGAAAAAAACTAACTAAATAAATAAACAAATATTAAAAAAATGTGTTGTTATTCTGGCAGAAATTTGGTTTGTGAGTAGAGTATCATGCATGAAGTGTAAGCTAATTATAGGAATATGGTATTCACATGAATTCTAACTCTGAAAACTTCCGTGAAGCTTTATTCTTTGCCTCAACATTATATTCTTCACTAACAGATGTAGATCTGACAGACTTGGCTAACCATCTAGTTCTCCTTTATTACATGAGTGGTTTAAAACAAGAACATGTTTAATTCTCTGTGTTCAGGCTCCAAGGATTCTTATGCTTCTCTCAGCCCATTGCCAACACTGGAAGGCTGATTCCACATAAATCTATACACCCTACTCAGGATTCTAGTTTGGGAAAGGTGAGGGGAGGAGGCAGTGAAACTGTTGTAAAGGGGATGTCTACAAGCAATTTTGGTGAGCAGTAAGGTAACATTGTAAGTCTCAGGACCTTGGCTCCCTCTTGTCAAGTGTTGGCACTGCCATTTGAAACTGTTATCTTGATATTATATAACACTCTGTCCTCCTTAGCTGGGACTCACACTCAGCCCTTTCTCAGCTGGTATTACCTGTTTCAAGTTGGATCAGCACTGAAAGTTTCTTTTTTTTGTTTATTACAGTGTACTCCTTGGATGGGATTCTGGTGTTTGGTTTGCTCTTTGTTTGCACCTGTGCCTACTTCAAGAAAGTACCTCGTCTYAAAACCTGGCTGCTATCAGAGAAGAAGGGAGTTTGGGGTGTGTTTTACAAAGGTAAGGTCATGTCTGGACAAAAGGAGGAGATGGCCATCTCTGGACAGTGTGGTGTTACGAATGGGGTGTTGTGAGCTGAGATTATATTTGATTCCACTTTTAGAAAAAAATCTTGAGATGGAGTCTGAGTAAATTTAGAAAACATTCTTATTTTTCACTAATGGAATCTATGAACTGAGATGGAGTCTGGTAAAATTAAGTAATCATTTTACAAAGTTGAAAAAAGAGGTAGCCCAGAACAGTGATGCACACCTGTAATTCCAGCAATTTGGGAGGCAGAGGCAGGAGGATCTCAAGTTCAAGGGCAGCCTCAGCAAGTTAGCAAGGCCCTAAGCAACTCTTGCTGCCTCAAAAGAAAAAAAAAAGGTGGGTGGGGCTGGGGATGTAGCTCAGTTGTTTAGTGCCCCTGGATTCAATCCCCAGTACCAAAAGCAAAGAAAAAAAGAGATGAATTGTGAATTTGCTATTATTTAGACGATAAGTGTTTATTTTAGCATCCAGGAAAGTTCAGTATTCTCTGTGGAGTAAAAGCGTACAAATTAAGCTATTTTTTGACTGGGCTGGAGGGGAGGAATATTTTCCCACTGAAACCTTTCCTGATTTTCTGGAAACAATACAGTGTAAGTTTTGATTTAACTAATGAAGATGTATTTTTACTTTTTATTTTGGGTATCTTCAATTGGAATCCTACCTACCTAAATCTTTTTTCAAAATAAGGTAAAAAATAGAAATAATATATTCATCTAGAACCTAGAGCATAAATGTAGCATTTAAAAACATTCCCAGGTTCTTGAAATTCTTAATAGATCTCTTTGTTTATAACTAGAAATTTTAGAATGTCACCTGGAATGTTAGGATTGTTGTGAAGGGCTGGGAGTGATTTCTTCTTTCTGTTTTTGCCTGCTAGCTGCTGTGATTGGAACCAGGCTGCATGCTGCTGTGGCAATCGCTTGCATCRTAATGGCCTTTTATGTCTTGTTTGTAAAATGAATTACAAAATACCCAACTCATCAACTGCCAACCAAGGGGACGGGGGTGAAGAACCTGTTGGAGGCCTGGACCCAGTGTAGGAGAGTTCAGCCAAAAACATCAATGTCCCCGAGATGACATCACAGCATCTGCCCCTGCCATATGTGAGGAAAACTACTTGTGGTCACRGATGTTATTTATGCTTTAGGGGACTCCAGAAAGCCAACTTCCTTTGATCTGTGTGTAAATTGGCTCTCAGCAGTGAACATATAATGTCCAGTTTAAKTATACCCATCAATGATAAGATTACATACCTCCTGCTTTTTAAAAACCTGTCACCTGGGCTGGGGTTGAGCTCAGTGGTACAGTATTTGCTTAGCATGTGTGAGGCCCTGGATTCAATTCTCAGCACTGCAAAAAAACAAAAATAACACCAACATGTCACCTATTTTGTTCTTCAACCCCTCATCAGGATCTTTTCAAACTGAGGCTTATAGGGAAGGACATAGGCTGTGTTCAGACCTCTTGAAAGGAGATAATTTTCAAGACTTGACTTTTTTTTTAACTGTTTAATATGGTTTTGGCAAATTGGGGAGGGAGGGTACCAGGTGGGAAAAAGAAGTTATGAAAGGCCAGGAAATTGCTTGGTTTTAGAAAATTGTCTTTTATATACTTATTTGGGAACATGAGAGAGAGGCATGGCTCTCATTGCAAAAAGAGAATAGATGAAGCAGCTTGGTGTGTGCTGAGAGCTTGAGTTTTGCCAAGAGAATCTGAGCTCATATAAAAATCCAGGAATTAACCATCTGTGATGAGACTAAAGAGCAGTGATTAAGACAAGAAAACACTTCCTGTTCACCTGTATCCCCAAAAGAAGACTTTACTCAATCATATGGTATATGAAAAATGAATCAGCTGTTGCTATTTCCTAAGGTTTTTTTATATTTTCTAACTTAGTGCTAAATACTGTTACTCAGTTTTAAATGCTACCACTAGGGGAAAAAGAAACTGTTGAAGAAATAATTGTTTAATATATTTGCAGTTAGAGGAAAAGATATAAATTAGCATATTAATTCTTATACTAGTGAATTTATCTAGTATAAGAATTTATTGTGATATTATATGGAAGTTTTCTCATGTTATAAAAGATTTATACTTAGTCTTTGTGTTAGGCAATTTTTAGTTGACTACCTGTTTTCTTGGCCAACTGCATTTTCTTTATATCACAGTCTTTTTCATTGTTTCTGGAAATTATTTACTGGGGAAACATGAGAAATTCAAATGAGAATTTGCTGATATTCGTTGGCATGTTTGGACAGTTCATAGACTCCATTAGTGAAATAAGAATGTTTTCTAAAGTAAAGGAGAATAGAACTTTACAATCCAGAGAAAAGAGCTTTTTCATTGACTATGGCAATTCCTGAGCAAATCTTTTCAGATGACAACATTTTCAGGAAAGACTTTTCTGCTCCCTCCTCATATATGCAGAATCAGCTGTTGAATTTGTGAAGCTAAAAACTTCTGTATATGAAAAAAAGTCTAAAACTAAATTATAGTAAGCAAGCATAGATAAAGATCTTCCAGTTGAATTGTCTATTACAGCAAAACTTTACTGTGGACAAAGTTAGTTGTGGATATCTCCTGTGTGGCAATAAATTAAATTGTCTTTTGTCTGTTTTCTATAAAAGATTAAAAGCTGCTAGGAAGTTTAGGTTCTACTATATGCAGTTTCATGCTTTGAGGGATCCTACAAGCACAAACATCATCAAGTAAACACTACATGTCTAATCATCTCAAAGTTGTGGCTGTTATCTCTTCAGGGATTGGTCCACAGGGTAAATTTCAGTTATTCATGTTTCCAATTGTCATTTCTGGAATTTTTCATATGAGAAAGGAATAGAAAAGAAAAGTTACATCTTATGGTGTGAATTTGGAATCTGTTGGTCATAGGGAATGTGTCCCTGGGAACAGGTTCAGCATGTTTTGCACTTGTTATTTGGTAGCTTTAATGACTTGTTTTCTAATAGGGCTAATGTCTCTAAGTTTGGTGCTTAGAGCTGCTTCATATTTTAAACTAGTTCCATTCCACATTGTAGTTCAACCAATTTTTATAACTGCCTGGGTGGGTCATCTTGGCCTAGACTCTTTGAGTGGTGATACTTTGAGATTTTTCATTCCAGAATGTACCAAAAAGTGTACAAGGTAAAGATAATTTACAGCAAGAAACAAATACACAGCCTATTTCATTTCTTGATTTCATATAAACAGAAAAACAGAAACTTTAACTCATTACTTTGGTTGATATGTCAAACATTTTTGGCTAAAAATTATAAAAAAAAAAATTGTTCCTCTGGGGAAGTCTTAGGGGTGGGGGCGTGAGGAGAGCAATATTGCCTCAAATTCAACTTGATATCACCATAAACCCTGTGTACCAGGGTAGAATGAAGWYRGCTCCTTTTTATAATTGAAATACAGTTTTTTATTCATCAATATCTGCACAAATCCTTGAAAATAAAATTTCTTTCCCTACAATATTTGTCCATTTTATTTGACACGTGATGAATTTGTTGAACTTTTTTTTCAGTACTTCCCTTGGATTCTGGTGATAGCTCACCTATTTAGTTCACATTAGTGAATGTCTTCATTCCTGTTATCCACTTGTGAGGGTCATTGAATGTATGATAGAGTTGAGAATATATGATAGCCTAGCTTTCTCCTTTCAGGGGAGATGAGGTTTCATAAAACTTAGGTATATTGAATAAGGTAGAAAGCACTCACCCAATACATTTAACCTACCTCTGCTACTAAAATGTAAGTATTATCTCCCATAATCAATGAAGTAATTTATTCAAATGAAGTTTATCAGGTAAACCAGCCAGGCACCTAAAAAAATCTTTCAGCCAACAGAATCTTGTCTCATACAACAGATATTCCCCTACTCCTATTTGTTTATTCTAAGTGCCTGGCACATATACAGATTATGACTTCAGAAATTATTTCTATTAATCTCTAAAATTATTTTGCTTTATCTTCTCCCTACACTCTAATTTCATTGAAAAAGAAGGGAAGAGGAACTGAGATGTTGAAAGTTGTGATCTCTACTGTGAGAGGTGCCAGTTCTACTTACATAATCACTATTCATTTTTTCTTTTTGGTGGTATTGGGCTGCTATTTTTCACTATACTTGTGGACTTTGAAAGTTAGACATGTTTTAATGGATGTGAATGTAAATGACTGCCACACCATCAAGTTCTGAGCAGCCAGAGGGCTCTGTGAGGCAAGGGATATGCCTTCCTATCTTTACCCATTTCACAGATACCCTGACCACCTAGTTTTTGGATTTAAATATTCCTCGGGTGCTCCAGATGTGGCTCAAGCGGTAGCATGCTCACCTTGCATTCGGGGGCAGGGGCCGCTGGGTTTGATCCTCAACACCACAAAAATAAAGTTATTATGTTCACCTAAAACTAAAAAATAAATATTAAAAAAAATATTCCTGGGGCTGGGAGTGAGTGTGGCTTAGTGGTAGAACATGCCTAGCATGGGTGATGACCTGGTTTTGGTCCCCATTACTCAAAATATGTATCAAGAAAAACAAATCTAGGGCTGTGGTTGTGGCCCAGTACTGGGTTCGATTCTCAGAACCACATAAAAATAAGTAAAATAAAGATATTGTGTCCATCAACCACTAAAAATATTTTTTTAAATGAAAACTCCATTCCTCACCTTTTCTGTGGTGAAATGATGCTTGCCTTTTCCCTTAGAAGAACTCTTGGAGCAGCTGATGCTCTTCTTGGTGGTGACCATCGGTCACTCTGTCCGTGCAAAGTAAACCATTCACCTAAAAATCTGACATTGGATCATCTTATACTCAACATTTTAAAATTGAAGACAAAAATAAAGTCGAAATAAAAGAAAACTATAGATRTGCATATGAAGGTTTATATGAATTAATATAAAGATCAAAAGACAACCACCATTCAGTATTAACTCAGTCTCCTCTCCCTAAGGCCTCCAAGCCACACGAGGGCAGCAGGACGTGTCCTGGACAAGATTGTGCTAGGGAGTCACCCGCCTATGGTGGGTGGCTTCTCCCAGAATCCTTCGCTGCGGGGGCGCCGGAGGGTTTAAAAGAGGGTGCGGACTTCCGCTGCCTCACGGGAGGGAGAGCGGCCTGGGTTGAGGCGAATGTGTGTTGTGTGGAAGGTGCGTGTGGGCCCAGTGAGCGAGTGGACGCTCGAGTGTGTGTGCGTGGAGCGTGCAAGGCGAGTGCGTGTGCCCCACCTGCGCCCCTCCCCCCGCCTACACCTTGATCTTATTTGATCGGGTCGTGACCCCAGCCCCGCCGGGCCGCCCCGAAATGAAAAGCTCTCCTCCTGCGAAGCCCCCTCCTCTGGGCGCTGTGCAGTGAGGCCCTTTGGGCGGCGGCAGCGCCGCGGTCCCTGAGGTCCCGGAGCTGGTCCTATGGGCCCGGTGCTCAGAAGTGATGAATTGATCAGATAGACGAGGCCGGGCCTGTCCCGGGCCAGTGATTATCGAGGCGATTCTGATCTGAGCCCAGGCCACAGTCACCGGCTACCGAGCTTCAGGACGTTGGAGCAAGCACGTTACCGATCTGTGGCTGGGGCGGAGAGTGAATGGGCCGAGAGCGGTTTCCCTGCCTCGGAGCTGGAAGGTGACCGAGGCCTTCCCTTTTTCCTTTTAGGATAGGGGTGTCTCTCTCTCTCCTCTCTCTCTCCTCTCTCCCTCCTCTCTCCCTCCTCTCTCTCCCTCCTCTCTCTCCCTCCTCTCTCTCCCTCCTCTCTCTC